ATTCTTCTTGACTTAATTCCTGAACATTAATAATTGCTTCCTCCAATGTTTAATGCACAAATAATAGAGTTTTGAAAAGAAAAAAAGAAAAGATTAAAAATAATAATTAAAAGCCATAAAATGAGTTTGGAAAAGATTCTGGGAAGATTCAAACCTAAAATAAACCAAGTAGAATTCATTAAGATTTAATAAAGCCAAATCTTTCCTAAACCACCCAGTTGCTTTGAGGGCAATGTGACAATGATTTATGGTCTTTTAAAATTTCTCAAATTCCAAGGAAGAATTTTATGCTTATACAAAACACTATTAGTCCAAAGTATTCATATTCTTACTGGAATTCAGGCTCTAGTTTGAACTGACTCCATTCCCAAAAAGGGCTACATGTTATTGAATAAAAGAAAATCATATGAATACCTTATCAAAAAATATGCAATAAATCAATGTCCGAAAGACATAAACTTCTTTATGTAAATATGACAGCTGCAGATGGGAATACAGACATGAGCAGAGTGAAGAAGACAAGATGACTAGGAGCCCAAACATCTTCTGCTACTAACAAATACATAGACACAAGCCCAAATAGACAAGAATACAGTTCCAGAATCAACATCCCTTATTTTATTATGAATTACAGCTAGGAAAATCTTCCTGCTAAAACATTGTTAACCAAGCTTCACAGAAAGTTTAATTCCTTATTCCTGATGTACATTTAAATTCTTCCATTTGTTTTCTCTAAATCTGTTGTAAGTTAACAAATGTTTGATTTGTTCTGTAAAATTGTTTTTAGCAAAGACAAAGAAGTTACCACAACTTGCTGAAAGTCATGCTTGAATTCTCAGCAGGAATCACAATGACTACTGAGTGAAATCTCTAGAAAATTTAGTTTTTGACAATAAAAAAGTTATGCAAAAGAAAAATCAAATTTCTGTCCATTAGAAATATTTATTTTGATAGTGCAGAAAATGAATACATTGAAGGGAAATAGGGGAAGTAACTGGGGAAAAAAAAATCAATCATTGCATTTCATGAATTTCATGACGGTTGGTTACAATGAGTGATCCTTGGTATTTATCCAAGACCTCCCCACAAGGCAGGATGTGGCACAAGGCAGTTTTTTTTAACGTGGGGTTATTTCGAGCATATACGCTTGGGTAAAAATTCCCTGTAGACCCTGTATACACAAGGTCGGGTAGCTGTCTACCTCCCTAGACTAGACACTGCCCTTTGGCATAGCCTCACCTGGGTTCCTCTCCAACCGGAAGCAGAGTCAACAAGCAGAGTTAACTGTAATCATTAACTCTTAAAGCCAGAATATGTTAAAAAAAAAAAAAATAAAGTAAGGTAAGGCTTCAAAGTTCCTTGGCCAAATTTTCAGCTATTTCAGGCTTTAACAGATTTTAGACAAGTTTCTCTTTGCTGTAGAGGAAAGGAAGAGAAAAAATGGCAAGGATTATATCACTGAGTCACTAAAAAGGACTTTAAATGTCAAAAATTGACCCATTAAATAACATTTTTTGTTTAATATTTTCCATGCTTGTTTGTTATTGCAACTGTTTATACTTTCTTTGATCTTACCAAAACTAGAAAATGTTAAAAATTTTTTTAGCAGTTTTCTCTTTTTTAAATAAAATTAAAAAAGAGAAAACTGCTAAATTTTCTTTTTCTTTTAAGAAAAATGAGAAGACATTTTTTTAGGAGAATAATGAATTAAACAACTTGAAAATAAGTGAACATTTGTAAAGAGAAATAGAAAAAAAAATTTAATTCCAAGTTTCTTTTTTTTTTTTTTTAAACTAATAAAAACATCCTGGGATAGAATTGAAATACGATGGTAAATTCCAACGTTCAGAAACTGAAGGATTATGTAACAACATTCAACTACATGTTTAATTTTGATATTTAATAGGAAAAAAAGTGCTTTATTCTTTTATTTCTACATTGTCACGGTCTCTCCACGTACTTTGGCGAAAAAGCGATATTAGCTACCTAAGCTGATGTCCCTCCCGATTCGATTTTGCCACAAAGTTTGTAGCCGAATCTTAGCAAATTTTATTCTATTGAATATTTTCAGTTCCTATTTCCAAGTATTTCTCAAATCTTTTGGATTTTTCTTTAATTCTTCTTTGTATTATCCTAGTGACAGTCTTTATCATAGAGATAGAGACAGTTCCTCCTAGTTCTGTACTCGCTCTTATTACCTCTCCCTAATTCTCCTTCTTGCACCTGATACCAGTGTGTCCTCCGATACCCAACAATGACTACGAACTTTATGGCATATGGAATAGAGTGGGATGTAATAAGATCGGACTTTTCTATAGATTCTCCTTTTGTTGCCATGTAGCCCACTTTGCGGGCACCTCCTATACCTGACCTAATTTTTAGCGTGTCGGTCGTCGTCTCCGTCCAGGCCTAATCTTCAGCGAGCCGGAGAGATTTTAAGTACCTCTACTACTCACTGTTTATTTTTATTTGTTTTTACAAATTAACGTTTACAAAAAAAAAGGTAGTGTAAAAATGTTGTTTAAAGTTCTAATTTTGATGGAATTTCATAAAATTACGGACAGCTCAAAGTTTAAAATAAAATAATATTTCTAAAAACAGAAATCTGTACAGGAAAATTTTATCGAAATTAGTATTGATAATTTAACTATTTTTCTGATAGATTTTCGATGTTTGAAAAATTGTCATATTCTTTTCAACTTTTAAGTGTAAACAACTTCAAGTCCACATATATCCGGGTCTACCTAATGTTTTTATTTTCTGAAATTGTCTCCATTTTTTTTAAGTAATGATTACAAAAACTTTTTTATTCAGGTTTCGTTTACGTTTTCCTTTTGATTAACGATTTTTCTTTTGCCCAACGTGTGTGTGGTAGTATTTAGGAGGCAAAAATAATAATAATAAGAAGAAACAACTTTTATCGTGGACGGATATCGAAATTAAACAAATTATTTTTTTATCATCTTTTGACCAGAATTTTATCAAGCCTCAGACAAACCACAAGGATTTTTAATTGTCTTTTAAACAGCTGCTTCAACTTATTTTTTCAACTTTAGACTTCCTTAAAGTAAGAAAAAAAAACTTAAACAGAATTTTACCTCGTAAACTGTATCATCAGGCAGAAATTAAATTTAAAAACAAGATTTACGGCTTATACGCAAAAATAAAAAATAAAGAAAGAAAGGAGAATACTATGATTGTAGAAATATAAATTTCGCCCCTCAGAAAAAAAAAAAAAAAAAAAGTACAAAAATTCCCAAATTCAAAACTGATCCGGTGGCACAAAAAAGGCTAGACAGAAGAACTGTGTAGAACCATTTCAATCTTGAATATAAGGCCTTAAGGTGTCCCCACTACGCACTAGTTAAAAAAATTAGTATGTAATAAAAAAAGTAAAACTAAAAGTTAATTTTATAGTCCAAGTCTTTGTGCTTCTAGTTATTGTAGAAAATTCTAATATAAAAAAAAACTGTGTCCATAAAATAAATAAATAAAAACGAGGATATTTGTTCGAAAAGTTGCTTATTGAATGACAATGTTTACTTTACAATACATTGGATTTTTTTGCATAAAAAAAATAAAACAGAAAATCTGCTTGGCCACTAAAATAAGATGAGCGCTTAAACCAGATTACGAAAAATATTATAAAATTTAACATTCAACTACACTAAATATCGAACTTGCTTGAGATGAAAAAAAAAAAAATATAATAGTGATTGATCAATATTTTTTTTTTTTTTTTTTAAGTCTCCTTCAAAAACGGGACAGACCAACACTAGGGTGTGGGACAGATCCAGAGGCAGCTTTTGCGGTCTCAGCGCTTTGGATATTTGAAAGAAAAGAAAATAACTGATTTTAGCAAGCTTATCTTTTTTTGTAGAAAAAAAAAAAAAAGTTTTTAATGTCCAGATTTTAGTGTAAGAAAAAAAAAAAAAACCTCCTTATTTATTCATTTTTTTTTTTTTTTTGTCTTTAGCTTATTTTTTTTTTTTAGTTGAATATCAAATTCTGACTGCCATACAAAAATTAAAGTTATATAGTCGTAATTATTTCAACTTTTGATAAGTGTGAAACATCAAAAATTACTCCGGGAGTGGGGGATTGAACTTCTTTCTTAACCTAACTTAAATAATGAAAGGAAAGCATATTGTGAATTTAGAGAAAATCAAAAGGTAGAGACCATTGGATTTTTTAAAATAATTTTTTTTACTGATTCATCTCTATTCTCAAATAAGTAGTAAATTTAATTGTTAAACAGATCGCATCATCTATCAGAGAAATGACATTTAAATTATTTATTATTGCGTTATTCCAAAAATGTTAACACATCAGCAGAATGTCAACAACTGAGCACAAATATTAATCAAAACTAAACAAATGTATACAATGTCGTTTTTGATAAAAAAAGTTTTTAAAAAATAACCATATGTAAAAAAATGAGTATATTGTGGAAAATTCCTCTTTCCACAATATAGCTATTTTTGCTAATGCTTAGCTTATTGCTTTAAAAACAATACTGAATATTTTTTAAACATTAATCACATCTCCCTAATTAATACCTGTCGCGATCTGTAAATAAAAAGAAGATAAACGTGCCTGATCAGTCTCTATTAAAAAATATGAATTTTTAATTAAGAGTTTTTACATCATTCAATAATAAGAAAAAGTAAAGAAAATAAATGTTAGTTATTTATTATTTGGTAACATTTAAGTAAAAGTAAAAAGCGAAACACATTTTTTATTTTTAGTTTTTAACCATAATTATTAACTTTTGGTTTTATGGTCCGAAACGCTCAGAGAAATAAATTTAACTTTACGACTTAATTTTTTATTGAATTTAAAATTCTTTGTACATAAAATTCTATGTAGGGTGTAACAAGACTTTCGGACTCCTCCCTCTAGATTGCCGACAGGCAAATAAATCTAAATGGGAAGACAAACAATGGCATCAACGATTTTTTTAAAAAAAATCTAAATAATAAAATAAAAACTGTACTTACCGATGCTCCAAGCGTAACAAATACATGAGCGACTGTCGTTTCTTCCGATGCATGTATATCTCCAAGAAATTCAGAGTAGAAATCGTGTTTACAACTGAGTGAATCTATCGAAGACTGTCTTACGCTCATGATTTCTTTCTTAAGTCAAGAATTTATTAAACTAGAAGAGCAATTCGCAACTTCCAAGAATATATTTCAAAGATAGAACTAGAAGGAAACTTAAAGAAATGTTCAAAAAATAACTAAATGGAATTTGATAATTAACCAATAATGCATTCCAATCCAAATTAAATCACGGATTGAGTTGTTTTTTATTTTTTTTTTTTTGTTTTTTTTTTTAAATAATAACGCTAAAATAAAATAAAAATATTTTTAAATAATATGTACGAAAATGAAAATAAATTCGCCAACAATAATAAAACGTGCAATAAGGAAAATTTGAAAACTTACAGAAAAAAACCTCAAAAACTATTCTTTTAAGTAAGAACAACCGTTCATTTTAATAACAATGAAACAAAAAAACTTGAATACAATTATTAATGCACGTGTTTTTTCAAGTTTTGTATACAATTGTTAAGAATTAATAAATAATAATAATAAATTAACTATTGCTATATCTAAATTTACTCTACAATATTAAAGAAATAGTATGTGCTTGCTGTCTTTTTACCCCCACCAGCTCCGGATGTATGACAAGACAGAAAAAAAAAATCTTCCTGTTCGTCTGCTTTTTGTTGCTTCACTTATTCATATAATAACCAGGTTAGTTTTTCTTATCTTTGAGCTTTGTTTCTTCCTTTCACCGGACGGTGTTTCTTATCTATCTAAAAAAAGGGCCGGCCGGATATTCTATACTAAGATAATATGTGTAAAACTAAACACGCATACAGAAAAGAGTTCTTTTAAATTATTTCCTTAACCTAACAATGCTGCGAAAATGAGGTCAATGAATTTTAATCCAGGATTTTCCTGGTGTGACATGAAATGACATTCATTTCTTTCCTTTTTCTGAACCAATCATATTGCAACGTGATTTTCTCAACTACAGGATACAAAAAAAAAAAAAAAAAAAAAATAAAGCAAAAGAAAATACAAGGTGTATCAAAAGTTAGAGAAAGATTTCTTAAATGAGAATTTATGTAATATTCAATAATTTTTAAAATCCTATTTTCTTTTTTTTTTTTTTTTTTTCAAAACATATCTTCCCAAAGTTGACCATTATGTAGTTAATATGAAAAATTTAACAATTAAAATATCTAGCGAGTGAAGATTTCAAAGGGAAATCAAAAGATTTCCATTATTCGACGAGTCATCTCCGACGGTATTATTAGCAGTTTTCGTTACTTAAGAAAAAACAACAAAAAAAAAAAAAACAAAAAGAAAAAGAAAAAAAATCAATTTCGCAGGAACATTAAAGAAAGAGTATATATGGAGGTTGGCGCAGAATGTTAGGTTTTACATTCAAATGGAATAAACACTTACCAAACGTTGTTTTCGAAGCTTTATTTTCTTGAATACAAACTAACTTGTTCCTGAGACAGCGTTTGTAGCTAGCGGTAGGTTGAAAACACACACACACACACACACACACACACATATATATATATATATATATATATATATATATATATATATATATATATTTGTCCTTCCCAGTAGCCAGCAGCCATCCTGATAAGTTCTTTGGTGGTTAGAGTGTAGTGGACCAGCCTGTCCTGCGTTCTAGCAAAAGGGTAGAGAGGTCTGATTACGATGCTCTGTTTTTTCTGGGCTTATACTGAGATTGGTCAGTGGTCAGGGAGTGTAGCGATTGTCTGTGAGATTATCCTTATCTTTGGTACTTGGTCTTTTACCTTTGTTTTCGCTTATCCAAATATCTGGTTTCATAAACAAACTCAGCTGTTTGACCTGTCCTTAATAATTCTATAATAATAGCATCGAAGCCTTAAGGAGATGATAAATAGATGATACTTTTCAGGAGATTTAAGAAATATTTTTATTTTATTTTATTTATTAAACATTGTATACGGATATATTCGCAACATTCTAAGTGGTTTTCTCAATCACGTTCATGAAATTCCTAAACAATCATTATTTTGAAATAGATGGTAAATGTTTTAAATCGATTCGTTTCCATCTGATTTACGTTCAAAGGGACAAAAAAAAAAAAAAAACGCTAAATAAAAATTTTGTTACTACAGAAAAAAAAATAAAAGAATGATGCTTGAGGCAAAGAATTCACAATTCCAAAGATTTATTAAAAATAAATGATGGCGGAATGCATAAGCAATTGAGAGGTAACAAATGAAAAGTTTAAAAAGGCGTTTACATGACAGAAAATTATAATAGATGTCCACTTACTTTTAAAAAAATAATAGTATATCAATAATCAAAGTTTTTTTTTTCCTCAAGCCATGAGTTGCGATATTTACATACATATTATTTTTCTTTAGATTTCACAATCTCAAAAGTCCACAAAAAGTTCGTATTTCAGTTTTTCTCAGATGAATAAATATACAATTTTCAATTTTTTTTCTTCGGATAGCCGAAGAATAAAAAGTGTTCAATCTTCTTTTTTTTCTACTGAATATTCTGCGACCCTGTTAAGATTGGCATAACATACTGGTGATGTTGTCTTATCTCTGGTATCTCTTCCTCTGTCAATTGCACCAGCTCAGCGGTAGCCATTTTGTCTGTACTCCTAATTTGGATGCAGGGTATTTTCAATGTTAATCTAAAAAGGAAAAACATATCTGTAACTTTTTTGTTCTTTGTGAAAATATAGGTATCTATGTATAATAATTGGATATAAAATCTTAAATTTATGTCAGCAATATGTGCCAACTTCAAGAAGTAAAAAAAACTTTTTCAAATCAAATTCTCATAAAATATATCTCTTCTCTGGAGAAGCTACGAATTGAGTAGCGTCATTTTTATTTAGTCTCAGACTAAATATATTTAGGATACAACAATTCCTTCTTATGACTAATTAATGGTATAAATTATAAACGTGTTTTAACACAGAACTTGTCTCGAGTTTTGAATAATTTTCAAAAAATTCTTTTCATTTCAAAATATTCAAATTATAAAAAAGACATACGTCGTTTAAAACGATGGGGACATTTTTAGGCTCCCAGCTACCACGAGATCCTAAAACTTTCTGTCTAAAATCGCGCCTATTTCTAAAGATATCCGAGGGACGCCTGTGCAATCATAGAAAAAAAAACAAAAAAAAACACAGCAACATTCAAATTTAACTAATCTAAGGATGACATGACCAGATATGAACAGGCAATAATCGTTACTAAAAATAATTTTCATTTACAAAAAAAGAATATTTATTCACATTTTTAAAATGGATCTCTAATTTACATAAATTATTAAAAATAAAATATCAGTCTGTTTTCAACGTATTTTTAAAAATTAATTTCTTAAACTGGAACTTTAGATGTAAAATTCTCCTGACAGTACGATCTGACAATTTCATAGCAGGCGAATGTTTACAGATTGAACGCGTGGGTGCTTGCAAAACAGATTATCTCACATTTGACATTTTCTGGAGATCGAATGCTCCAAGATTTTCCAGGTGATTTTCTTTTTAACGCTGAACCTGTGGAACTTAAGTTTTCAGTCTGTCGCACCCAGTCGGAACTCCAATTCTTAAACTCAAACAAAAGTGCTCACTTCGACATTCACAGCTCATATAATAAAAACAGACGTTAATTTCGTCTGGCTCTGCAAACACACATCTGGAATACCACCCCAAAATACCAGAGTCATTAAACATCTTTTTCTGACCAACCAGAAAAGAACCCACACGACTATAGTAGCAACCATTTCTGAGCAGCTAACTCACGATATAAAGGCAAAGCCAATGTTGGTTTAACACACAAGGGCAGATCCCACCTGGTTTGCATTAGTGACGCTCCGCAACGGCAGGCAGCTTAACTGAGAGGCGCAGACAACACGACTGCCCAGGCCATCATCAGCGACACCAAGGCGTTTCTATCAACAATCAGTGACGAAACCAGCAGAGGTTAACTCTCGACTACTATAATGTAATAAATTCGATAATTATAATGTGGAATATTTTGTCTGTCCATTCGACTACATGTGCGTGTTGATTTTCTCCCACAAGTCAATCTTAACTACACATGATGTATTGAATTTTATTAGATGTTTATCTCGACTACCCTAAACGAACTATAAATCTACCATTGACTGATATACAATATCCTGGAATGAGCAAACGATCGAACCTTGTAAATCACAGGAAATGAGAACCTTTTAATTATCTCAACCACGTCTTATCTCCATATTATATCATTTTACATTATATTATTGTGTTACTTATACTTAATTTTGTTAATGGTAAGGCTGCCGTTACAAGTCCACAGCAAGATATTTTTTTTCTTGGAACAAGCTCATTTCGATTTATCCTGTAGTGAAAACAAAAAGGTCTTTGTGTTGCAATAACAGATTCATCAGCGAATACACTGTATACACAAACCAGAATAACCTCTGAAAAAAAAATGGTAACAATAAGCTACATACGGGATGCTAAAAGAAATCGGTAAAACGTTAGTTACATAAGAAACGCGTAAAGAAAATTGCTAAACGTTAGCTATATAAAGGATAAAAAATGGTGAAATGTTAGATACATAAGGGATAAAAAAATGATAAAACGTTAGCTACAAAAGGGATGCGAAAAGAAAATGGTAAAACATTAGCTACAAAAGGGATGCGAAAAGAAAATGGTAAAACATCTACACAAGGGATGTTAAACGAAAATGGTGACCGTTAGCTACATAAAGACGCCATTATTAGTGGAGCAGGTGTAGAAATAAGAGGTTTTAATGCTCCCCTATAGAATAATTAATATAATGTAATATGATATTGTATAATATAATATAATATATTATTCTATCTTATAACGTATTGTTTATGTAACCTGTAATATCACTAGTGGAATTTATTGAAATAACTAGCTCATCCATGTTATCAAAATTAACAGAATATTTTGTTATACAGTTAATATTAGTAAAAGATTTATAAATGTGAGTTTTAAATCTGTTTTTGCAAATTATATTAATACGTCGTAATTTTGTAAGATCAGTTAATAATAAATA